ATTTCAGATTGTTTTTAATCAACACTTACCTTAGCCCCATCAGGTGTGGTTGAAATGAAGTCTTAAACTAGGCTATTAAAAAAAACTAAAGCCCTCATTTAACCTACTACACAGGGTACCTCATTAAACCTACTAATACCAAGGACAGGGCCAGCTAGAGCCTCAGTTGTGGACTGGTTGGGTTTATGTAGTAATATATGGCTTAGGAAGCCCAAAATTGTGCCCTTAGTTCACAATATTATTAGGTATTATCAATCACAATAATGTATAGATTGGCAGAAGTAATAATTAGTCCAATACCCGCACAATGGTGTCGGACGACAGGGTTTATACCTGTCCGACAAAGCCCGACTCCCCCGCCCCCAGCTGGTACCGCCACTGGGTGACAACCTTCTTGCATACAATTAAACATTTATCATACTCCAATCCTTAGTAAGTTTACCTCCAGTATCCATAACTTTAGGTGCATCACCAACCTCCATAGAAAACATTACAATCTTTGGTGTCATAGAAGACATCTTATTGCTAAAACAATATCTATAAACACCATCCATATGAGCGGCAAACGTGTATTTCCCATTTGACTCTCTTTCACCCTCATACACCACTCGATTGTCAGGTCCAACAATCTGGAAAAAGCAAAAAGGTAATATTAATGAATGATATACACTGATGGTTTTTTTTTTTTTCATTAAATTTATGAAACAGAAAATTCCAAGGTTACAAAAACAGATTAATGTGCATACATAACTAAATGGTGTAACAAAATAGTCACTGCCAAAATAATAACTACTGCCTAGGCCTCTAAAAACCATAGGCTACTTTAGGTCTAAAAATTAATAATTAAATACTGGCTATGGATATTTTGCCAATGCTGCTGATATTTTTACACAAATCCGAGTTGTTGATTAGTGCAGTTGGCTTGACCCTAACCTTATTATAATATTACTGTAGTCTAGGTTTTTTTGGCCGTGGCTAAGCTTACGCCGAAATGATTGGAATATGCAAGTCCTCTCTGGCATAGATCAATTACCAAAGGGCAATCTCATCAGCTCGAGCGTGAAGCCTGTCTCCTTTAGTTTGGACATAAAATGATTTCCTCTGAGCGCTTTTCGTCACTATTTCCGTTGAACTCTAATTATGTCAACAGGGAGTTTAGACGGGTAAAGGAAAGTTTTTAGAACCTCAATGCAAAACTTCACGTTATGCAATGTCAACAATTCCATTGCTTACTAGGCTACTTAATGAGCTCGACTGAACACTTTGGAAACACTTGGCAATCAATTTTTTTAAATTTTTTTTTTTTCGTCTTTATTCATGTATTTTCAGATTATTTTTTTTTTACTTATTTTTATTGTTGGGGTGCTTGTTTGCATCCATAATTTTTATCTAATATGTACATATGACATTTTATAGATTGTTATTATTATTATCTAATTGTATTTTGATTTTTTTAATTGTCTATTAATTATTGTAAACTTGGAGTTTATCAATATTTTTGTTGTTTCTAAATATTCATACCGAATAAATAAATAAAAATAAAATAAATAAATGATCGAAATCCCAACGTGCTGATTGGTCGACTTGGCTTTAGGCCTACAGTACCCTAACCTTAAAAATAACTCTCACTATCTCAATCCACTACATCTTGGAGTAAGCATAATCTTACCTCACTATGGCATAACCACTTTGGGTTTTTGTGTGTATGTGTGGGTGTGTGATATTGTATTAATTAGCGCATTGCACCATGTGTATTTATGTGATGTGCAGTTTATGCACTTTCATCAACCTTCATATCAATCATACTATTACTGTGAAATACAATCGTCAATATTAAATAGTTTCTATATATTTATTAATTAAAAAGTATACAGTATTGTTGTGTTCAGACACCCGGTACATTTAACACGTCACACACAGGCTAGGCTAGGCCTAGGCCATTCGACCGGCATATATATACCGTACCTTGACGTCGATGTCCAGGAAGCCTCCCTCCGACACCTCAAACGCGAGAGCCATATTCGTACCAGATGTTACCTTGTCGTGAAAGCATTCTTCTGCATGGGCATCAACGGAGACAAAGTAACTATTTGTACATACAAAACATTCTAGTAATATAAAACACAAAATAAATATATCCGTTTTCTCCATTTTCGCCAAATTCACTTGTATTCTGGCAGAACTTCTTGCAAGAAAATAGGCGATAATGCCACGTTCGTTTGTAAGAAAGGCTTCTAGAGGGCGCGCTACAGTCTATATGAAAAGAAAAAAGAGCCCAGCCAGCTAGACATAGTTTTTCGCGGAAAAGTGCACCGTTTAAACATGGAGAAAATAAAATAGCCATGGTTTAAAGAGGTGTCCCCCACCTCCCTTGAGATTTTTTTTTACCTTCTTCTTTTTTTTTTTTTTTAAATGTTTATTGAAGTTAAAAATTCATTTTTGTGTGTGATGCTTCTCTCAATTCAATTTTGATGTTAAAGATGCATTGTCCCATGCTAAATACCCCCAAAAAATCATAAAAATATTTTTTGAAATTAACTTGCCCATTTTGAAGTAATATAAAAGTTATCAACTTGAACATAGAAATTAGTGTATTTAAAAAATGTCTACCCATCAGTTTACAGCGAAAAATGATAGAAATACTTCCAGTCACTGGAAGTGTTTTATTATTTTTATTATAATTTTTTTGGTTTAAAAATCAGGGTACACATATTTTCAAGGGACAATACATATTTAAACTTTAATTTGTTTACGACTTGCAATAAAGGTTACTTTGAATTTGAATTGTTATAATGTGTTTTCCTTGAATTTGCGGATTCATGTCTTCCATTTTGGCCCATTTCTAATTGAATTTATTTGGCGTACTCTGTCTTTCTGTCTGAATTTAAGGCGTTCATTTTACTTCATTTTAAATTTTGCATACTTGTATGACTCAATTTTATTTTATGTTAAATTTAACACGGAGAGCTCCCTGACAGTAACTTGTTTTTACTTTTGAGCAATCCTGTCGAGTTTTAATGACTTTTTATACTTTTTTAAAAGTATTTTTATCTTGTATTCTCGTTTGTCTATGTATTCTATGTTTATCAGGGAACAGTAATTTAACTGTTTCCTGGTTTTCGACGATATAAATGATATGATACGTTAATAAACACCCGAATTTTGAGAAATTCATTCATAATGCATACGACATTCAGCATAGCCCAATGCCGCAGTCAGCTATTGGGCGGGACAGTCCCACACAATTTTACTAATAGGTCCACAAAGAATGGGGTCCACATTTTGAAAAATGGGTCCAAATTATGCAATTTCATACATAAAATGTATGAAAAACTTTTAAAAATTGGTCCAGATTCCTCATATTCAGCCTTATGGGTAAAATTTTAAGAAAAGGGGTCCAGATTCTTCATATTTATGCGTAAAATGAGTAAATATTTAAGAAAATGGGTCCACATTATTTGAATTTACGCGTAAAGTTGGTCCACCCTGTCCTGCACTGTTTGAAAGTCCTGGCTACGGCATTGAATAGGCCTTAGACGATGCCATTGATTGGTTGGTTGATTGATTGATTGATTGATTGATTGATTGATTGATTGATTGCTTTATTGATTGATTGATTCATTCATTCATTCATTCTTCATTTATGATGGATTGATGTAGCCTAGTCGGATAAACTGGTGGTGCCACTGTGTGCGTGCTGAACCGTGGAGATCTTTTGGTCCCCGGTTCAATTGTCATCTCTTGTATTTCAGGATTGCGCACTGTCTCTTTTCGGATGAGACATTTAAGCCGTTGGTCCCTTTTGCAGTGGCGGATCCAGAGTGGGACTTTCACAGATGAGGGCCAGGCTATCTACCTCATCCCCAACCATCATAAATCATAAACCATTGGGCCGAGGTAAGAAAATTTATGATTATGGCAGGAAATGGCATTCTATGCCTCAAAATTTGAGTAGAATTTTCTTTTTTTCTCATTTGTTTTTTTTTTGTTTTTTTTTTATTTTGTAAAATGTAGGGGTGGTGACGGGCCGGCTGGACCCCCTTGAATCCGCCACTGGTTTGCATTGTGGCCCATCACGACGTGCTCCTATTAAAGGACGCGTAGTACGTTCGGAAGAAAATAGTGGGGATTGTCTGCTGCCGCAACTGGAAATATTAAATCTTCTTTAGACTTTCATGGGTTTCTTGGTGTTACACCAAATAAATCCATCCATCCATGATTGATTGATTGATTGAATTTATCCGATGCTCAAAATACAAGAAAAATTATTTGTAACGAAAACATTTAATTTAAAATTAGGCCTAGTGAGCACCAGGACGCCCATTATTAATTCGTGGCGTATTTGGGTTGAAATGGTGGTCGGGGGAGATGTGTATAAGAGACAGGTACATTTAACAATAACATTTTATTTTTATTTTCTGCTCTGCCTGGACAGTTTTGACAAAAGCATTTGCTAAATAGAAAACAGAATTTATTTATTTTTTTTTTTCCCGAACTCCTCTGACGATCTTTAAAACATACAGTAAGTTTACTTAAACAAAGTAAAAACAAAAGTGTCGCTTAAATAATAATGTGTTAAGCTCCAATATATAGAATATAGAATTAAAACTCAAAATACAGTAAGTATTAAAGTAGTGTAGATTATTACTTTATAAATAAAGCATACCATAATATTTATGTACATTTTTGTATCATAAAACCCCCCCTTAAAAAAAAGAAATAAAAGCATATAAAAATTGTGTTTATCACTGCATTGTATAAGCATGTTTCTTATTAAATTTCCTGCATTTTAAAGTTTTTTATACATGTTCCCCAGAGAGATAACAGTTACACATGAAATGTCCTTTTTTATTTTTGTATTTTATGATTTTCTTTAGGTTGAGTTGTCAAATCCATTGAAAGTGCCATCAATTTGTGTTGGTTTGTCCCCACCTGATCAAAAGCCAGGAACAGCATTAGGATCTGATGACAAATCGCTAGGCTACAATGTCACTGATTCCTCAGTGTAAGTAGAATATTCATTTCCTTTATATCTTATTCAATAGACACAGTATTACAGTTTATTTCTTGCGCAGACCCAGTGCTAATTCTTGCAAGTACCTGAAAACCAAAAGTAACTCTGTGGAAACTTGTCTAACTTGAGGGCAGCAAAGCTCAGTGAGAGCATTAAATATCTGTATCTTATTTTAGTCATTATAAGGGAGAGGCAACTCAGTATGAGCTTGAGCTGTTATTTTTTTTTCAGCAATATTTTGTTAGGGTGGCCCATCCAGCCTGAGCTGATCAATTGGGACCCTCAGTATACATACAATTAAAGACAGAAAAATTACAGATGAAAACTTAAACTAGATCTTATTTTAACAAATTAATTAAATTAAAACAGAAACTAATTTCTCTATTGATATTTTTGTGATATTCTTAATGTTTAACATTATTAATATTATTATTATTATTATTTATTCAGGCAAAAGATACAGTATACAAAATATAACACAAATCAAAATCAACGCAATCCTTTTATGACGGACTTTAGTTAAAATAAAATTAGATATTAAATTTATTAACCACAATAAAATCCAATAAAGGTTAAGTAACACGGTGCCCGTGTCGATAGAAAACTATCGAAATTGTAGCATCACACGCTGAGCTAAGAGGTAGGAGACGATGGCTTACTGTGGCCGTGCCTTTAGCCTTATCCATTCGATCACCACACACACACACCGTTACTTGAGCTGAAGCTTAGTAAGCATGAGAAAGAAAACAACTATTGAATGTGCTTCTACTTTACCACCATTGTAAGGATTGGTAAAAGCATCGTCAGAAATACATACATGAACAAGCAAGGTACTTTAACACCTCATTTACTGTAATCTTTATATCTTTATTATGGCAAAATGACTCTTTTTCTCTAGGCCACACTTCTTGATTTGCGTGTATGCAGGCTATGTTCTTGCGTACAAGCCCACGGGTAGTGAGCAGGCCTAGCACGTGCTGGTAGATTGTCCCTTCAATTTTTAGCCTAGCCATGCTGTGGCACACACTCGATTGAGAACATTACCCAAATCGAGAGAACATAAACTTGCTTGATTTTATGGTGTTGTTTAACTCTTATTTAGGCAATTTTATCATTTATAAAAAAATACAATTTAGTAAGTACTTAGGCCTATATAATATTAATGTAGGCCTAGGACTAGGTAAGCTAGCCACTCTATATATAGTATCTGTACTATGTAGTATCGAATTGGGCCCGATCGTCCAGAAAATGGGCCCTGATATAGTCTGAAAGTGGCTGTCAGTTTTTTGTATTTGATGATGTTTGATATACTGACAATAACATTTTAAAAAATAATATGAGATGATTTTAATTATGATTCTTAATACTAATTTGCATGGAAAATCGCTAGGAAATGCATAATTGTATTGGTTATATATCAAGATTTGGTCAAAGCCTGTTTTTCGGCAAAATCTGCACGGACGGATTTCTAGACCAAATTTTGCAAGGATATTTTCCGCACAGGCCTTACTATACAGTCTAGCCTGTATGTTAAATAAATTTAGAACACAGTAATGAATCAGAATGAACGTGGGCCTGATAGTTCGCAAAAGGTTGACCCGATTGTCGTAGCTGGGACGTGATCATCTGCAAATTGGCCTAGTTCAATTTCACAGGCTAAATCTTGAAATCTGAAAAAAAAAGTGTTTGTGCTAATACGACCATGAAAGTTGTCTCTATAAAATGCCTCCTCCACCAAATAAATGCAGTTTTTCTAGCCCTGATGGTCTGGCTGATTACTCTTATATAAAAAGATGTCTATACCCACCACCGCATGGTATACATGAGGTCATGTATTTTATGTCAACCATTACAAATTTTAGCCATTACTTTTATACTAAGCAAATATACTTACTGTATACACTATTTATATATGGCCCTCAATTGTATATTTTTCTTAACCATATTTGTAGAGGGTGACCCTTCCAGCATATCATAGAAGGTTGGCTGATATTCATGGCCCTCTTAGTCTGAAATAACGTGATGCTTTATCAGCAGTCTCATTACAAGTCTTAGGGAGTGGAGATGGATGGATGTAAACACCAAACCCACGAAAGTCTGAAAAAGACTTATTACCGGTGGGGTCCTTCTGGTGGTGATTGGGTAGTACTGTACACTGGAAGGCAAGAATCTTAATCACAAAGCTCCACTTCAAAATGACTGTCCCTAATGAGATATGAACTCGCAAAGTGCTCTAACTACTGAGCTATAGAGTTTGTTAAATGCATACAATCTAATGATCATTAAATTCTTAAATTATCTATGTGATATAGGATGAGTGACCCAGGCTTTGATTTACTTTCTGCTGCTATGAATGAAAGTGGTTTATCATTGGATATCAATGATATTCTAAATCCACCTGAAGATGATGCCACCAATCAGCAGGAAGTCGATCCAGGGGGACTTATTTCTCAAGTAAGAACTGATCATTTGTTTATTCACATGCTCATTCATACATTTATTCATTCATTCAGTTATTTAATCATTCAATCCATTCATTCATTCAGTATTTTATTCAATCATTCATTCATTCATTCAATCTTTTATTCAATCATTCAATTCATTCAATCATTCAATTCAATCATTCATTTAACTCATTCATTCATTCATTTATTCATTTAATCATTCAATCCATTTATTCAGTCACTCTTTTATTCAACCATTTAATTCACTCAATCATTCATTCATTGTTTCATTTATTCATTCATTCACTCAATTATTCAATCATTCATTCAATCTTTTATTCAGTCATTCAATTATTCAATCATTCTTTTATTTATTTATTCATTCATTCTTTCAATCATTCAATCAATCAATCAATCAATCCATTCATTCAATTTAGTCAATCATTCATTCATTTATTCATCCATTCAATCACTCTATCAATTTATTATTCATTCAATCGCTCATTCAATCAATCATCAGTCAATCAATCAACCATTCATTCATTCATTCATTCATTCATTCATTCATTTATTCATTATTCATTCTTTTATTCATTCATTCATTCTTTTATTTATTCATTCATTCTTTTAATTAGTCATTCATTCATTCATTTATTAATTTATTGCCAATTTCGATGTTATTGTTAAATATTTCTTTGTGGTTATTATGTATGTTTTACTCATAGACATCAAGGAAGTGAAATTGTATATTGGTTCAAGTGTATAATAACAGTAAAGTTTGTCATATACTGCATATGGCACTTAATATGTTATATATTTATGAAATGCAAAGAGAAGATCTAACTTTTCCATAAGCAGTTGATAGACTAATGTTTAGCAAGTATGAAATATAACAGAACAATTTTTTATTCATGTAATATTATAACCAAAAAATATTTACAAAAATGACAAACTGAAAATGAGAAAACTTGTTTTGTATCTGTTAATTCAGATTATTGTTTTTCATTGGTTTTTTTTTTTTTTTTAGTTTACACTTGGTTTTTATTGTTTTTAAATTGATTTGTTTTAATCGTATTAACTAACAAATCTGAAGAATTTTTGTTCTGTCTTTTGAATATTTGCAGGCACTGGCCCAGAGTGGTGTCAGCGGAACTGAGCCAGATCCGTTACTTGTAGCACTTCAGCCAACACAACAGGTAAGTATGATGATGACCCTCAACTGAGGCTAAAGTCAACAATGACCACTTATTAGATGAGAGAGTTCATCCAAACGCTTCATAACGACAACGTTGGCCTTGAAGTGAGGGAAATGTATCTTTTAACACTACGGCCAACCCCTATTTTGAGGACACCCTTATTAAACTTTTTTCAAAGCCCTGCCCTTTTGCAGCCTTGTCCTCAGTGGCCTCACAACGCTTAATATAGATCATTTGACACGTAAAATAATTCTAAATAAGAACGTTCAAATCTTGAAAGAAAACATGAAAGTCAAAAACGTAGGTCGCCTAGGCCTAGATAAGGTTGCAGTTACAGAACATGAGATAATTTCCATGTGTGTTGATATATGAACTGTTTTTGCGGTTACTGTTGTGTGCGCATGCGTCTGACTCGAGTGGTAATTGCAGTAAACATGTGCTTGCTGTGCAGCTAGCTTTGGGCGATCTGATGTCATCGCAGCTCAAATGTGTGAAATTAACCTAATTGGTTGACACTCGGCTAATCTAGTTGATGACGGCCAGTTTAGAGGTGTGGCCTTTTTTCCGATGACGACCACTGAGCAACAACATAAGATATTGAACTTTGACTGTTTTGTGTACAATCGCCGACCGCCGCAAAAAACTAAAAGTATATTCCAACATTGAATCAATAATTAATAGTTAATACTCTAAACAAAGTCATTTTACCACTGACAACAATTGCTTGGCTAGGCCTAGCTTGCCTAAGCCTAGCCTGGCTACGAATCAAGGCACTCACGAGAGATTAGTACTGAGGCTAAATCAAATTTTGCCTTGGTGCCCTTTTATATTTGAAATTTTGGCCTGGTGCCTTTCCATTTGGCTTGGTGCCTTTCAAAATCATGTCAAACCGGAGGCCATTTGGCCTTGCCCATAAAATCCTCGAATTCGAGGCCTGTTCTACTAAACAGCCAAAAAATGTTGACATGATATTATATTTGTATTAATAATCATTGTTTTATTTTTTATTTAAGGTACAGCAACGTCCTGCTATTGTTATCCATCCCCAGACATCAAATCAAACAATCGTCCTTCCAAATTCTCTGCATAAGATTCCCACAACTATGATAAAATCAGCTGGCGGACTATCACTTCAGAACAATCGAATCCTTAAAACTTACAAGTTAGTCTCAAAAGGACCAGGTCAAGTTGCTATTGAACAGTTAAATATTGCACCTTCAAAAATTGCAACTTCAAATGGAAAATCTGAACCACATATGATAAAAATTCCAACATCTTCAAAATCAGAGCCTGTGATTTTGAAGTCGGAGCCGACTATAATACTTACAAGACCATCGACTTCTGCAGTAGCGAAGACATCACCAGTTTCATCTTCACTGTCAACCGGGCTAGCATCAAAAGCTTTAACAACTCTTGCACAAGGAACATCACAAACACCACAGAAAGATTTCAGAGCTAAAACTGTTAACAAGCCAAGGTCAAATGAAAATGTTAGAAATTCAATTACTCTTCCGGTAAGAAATAATGTATTTAATTATTAATGATTTTTTCTATATTATATCTATTCTTATATTTAATATTTTTATTCTAAGTTTGAAACTGCTGTCAGGAGTGGAACCATGATGTTTCTTATGGAGGATGCAAATTTTAAAACAAAAGGTCATGAATTTTACACAAAATATAGAGTTCACCCTCCAATTTGAGACCACTTTTGGACCTGAAAATTTGGGGTAGTCACAGGGTTTGTTCTCCAATTAGAGAATTACCTTTGTGTTTAAGATTATTGATTGTTATTTGGTTCTTAGAAAAGTAGTCTGGAATTCGAGGGGTCTCGAATTGGCAGGACGACTGTATTTGAAAGTCTAGTGGAAAACAAGAGGGAGCTTTCGAGTGATGTCACTAAAAGTCATTTGCGCATGTGAGGATGTTAAGGTCACCTTGTCGAGTAGGACGGTCACACATGAGTGATTCTGTTTTAGCGTCGCATCGTTACACAAATCAAAAGCTCCCTAAGGTGTAGGTCTCAGAGGTTAACCATCGACGTTTGCCCTAACACAATCCTGTTACTGTACAGTATATACTATACCATGATTCTTAATTATATGGTATATCAAAATGACAGCTGTACTAAATGTACTATGTGTGTGATTTGCATCTCTGTTATTAAATATTAATTAGCTACAGTATTATTCACCTATTATCTAACCTGAAGGTTGAGAGTATATATGTAGCAACAGCTGCATTAACCACTCCTACAATTTCTTTTTGATTTTCTTAAAAAAAAATAATTCTAGCTAATTAATATTATCCATGGAGTGGACTACACACATTAGTTGTCCCCGAAACTCCTAAACAACGAAGGGCAGATGAGCTCCTCGGTGTCAATGGCCAACCATGAATAAGTTTAAAGAATAGGAGTTGTTTACCCATTTATTATTTACCGGTATTTATTATTTCATTATTTATTTATTATTTGCCAAATTGCAGCAAACCTGCTGAATTACGTTATTTATTATAATTTCTATGTAAAGCGCATATGGGGCAATGTGCTACATAAATCTAACATTATTATATTACACACATTACGTTGAATACATTTTATCATTTTTGTTTCTAGACGGTAATTAATGCGCTTAAGGCCCAGAAGGATGATGAACCGGACGAGGAAGATGATGATGAAGGCCTAGGCTATGCGGCTACATATGCTGATTATATGCCTAGTAAATGTAAGTCTTTAGTACAATTTTCATAGTGTTAAATAGTAATAATGATAATTTTTCTCTTTTGTAACAATAAAATAGAATGACCATCTCAATGACTTTTTAGTAATCACAATTTTTCATATATTTATTGTTAATTATTTTTTGTTTCTCTTTCACAGTAAAAATAGGCATTAAACATCCAGATCCGGTAGTAGAGACTAGCTCCCTCGCGAGTGTCCAGCCTCCAGATGTTTGGTATAGGCTTGCAATTCCAGAGAGCTCTATTGACTATGGACACTTATCTGCTTTGCAGCTGGAGGCTATCACATATGCCTGTCAGCAACATGAAACATTCCTTGCCAGTGGAGAGAGGGCGGGCTTCCTTATAGGTGAGAATAAAGTGATAGAAGGATTTATAACTTGAGACGAATTATTTGGTATGGTTCTGTATACACTATAAATATCAAATTTTTGTCAGACTAAACAATATGTGATTAGACTTCATCTTTTTAGACACATCTGATCAAACAAACTTTAACCAACTCCCTCAAAAGTAGAGGCCCCTCCAGAGACTCATTTGGAATAAATGTCTCCCTCAAAAATAAATGGCTTTAGGTGTTTATTTTTTCCTTGAATAAGTGCCCCCCTCACCACAATACTAATGGAAGCAACATCATCCTCAAAACATTCTATTAATGTTATACTCCAGTAGAATTACATTTTTCTAACCTGGTGGGGATCAATGAGTTTTTTTTGATGACCCAATAACACATTCTGACTAATTATGTGTTGTAGTTTCACATTTACAGTGAAATTGAGGGGCGTTTATTTGAGTATATATGTATCCATTTTACGCCAAAATAAAATAAGGGCATCCCTCTAATACAGTAGACGCCCCATCACAAATCTGATGTGTCTACCTGGGTTTAGAACAACATGTAATGTTGAGTCGCAATTACCGAGTTGTAGGACTGAAGATTAGTGGTCAAGATGCTGTACTTGTCTTTATATAAGCTTTCAATTTTATTTAATTTTATTTCATCCAACAGCATCATACCAATAACAGGATGACATACTATACAAAAGATAAACATACACACAAGGATGCTGTACATAAGATAATTCCCTATTCAGATTTCACTCTGCTACGATCATTTGGAACGTAATTGATGGTAAAATACTGATTACTGCAAATCGCAATCAGTAAGCACATTCAGATCAAATCAAACACAAAAAACTTATATTGGAACGGGAGGTCAAATGGTACTAGGTCTCCGGTGGTTAGGCCTATGTTGACTGACCTCGGCCGATCATTGCCTGTGGAATTTGATTTGGTGCGATCGGATTCTGTTGTAATTGGGAGTCATTAAGATCGTAGCACCCAATCGCAATGGGTAACAATTACTATATCGATTACTACTATTGGTTAGCTTTCACACACGATAGTGAATTGAGATTGGGTGTCACAATTGCTAAAATCGATCGCAATGCGATTCTAGTCTGAATAGAGTATAAGTCTCAATATGAGCCTTAGGTTGTAGAGTTGTTTTTGGTAGTGAGAAAAATTATGTAACTTTGACAGGAAGTGACCTAAGATATTGAAAGGCAAGTATAATACTGATCAAACTGCAGCTCCAATTATGGAAAATAAATCATATTTGTTTTAACTTATTATTAATTTAGGTGATGGAGCTGGTGTAGGCAAAGGCAGGTGTGTAGCTGGCATCATCTATGAAAATTACCTGTTAGGAAGGAAGCGTGGCCTCTGGTATTTATTAGTTTATTATTTGTTATTAGTACAGTAGAAGATGGACATCTTCAGGACCAAAAAGTGCCTCCTGAATAGGGTTTAGCCATAGTGTTAAAAGATGCATTTTCCTTCATTTTGTGGCCAAAAGAAATGTGTTAATAGGTTGTTCCCTTAATAGGGGTGTCCCATTAATAGAGGTGTCTCATTAACCCTCTGGATACTGGATTCTTTTGTAGTGCAAACTTTTGAATACCGGATTCTTTTGCAGTGTAACAAGGTTTTTTGAGTATACGTCGTTCTGGTGGATTTTTGGGAACTTTCTGTAAATTATACAGAAAAATGTTTCTAAAAACAAAGAAAGCTTATAGAATAAGCTTTCATTTGATGTATAATTTATATTTTTGGGAATTTTTTTTCATAATATAATATAATATAATATAATATA